AAAAAAAATACTTTAGAGAAGGCTCTAAAAAAAAAAAACAAACCTGCTTTCTTGTAAAATGCTTTATACATAAGTTGTCACTGCCATTGAATTAGTTACAACCTCCAGTGGATTCCAGGACCATAAACTGCAGTCTCCATCAAGAGCTGCTGGTTAATTTGAATCACTTGAGATGCACAGCTTTGGTTTAACAGTGCAACTTGCTGTGGCCTATGCTACTAGCATTCCCCTTATACCTATGTCTTCAGGTTAGAGCTGACTTGTAGCTGACCATCCAGCAGGTTTTCAGAGGTTCTAAATCAAACCAGAGGAGATTGCCCAGTCTACCTTAGAGTTGGCAATTTAATTCCGTACCCAGTAGTAGGCCACCAGAGATCTCTTAACCGCATACTAAATGTTTACTAACATACTTTAAAATGTTAGTTTAAGCTGACCTGGTGACTGGTAGTTTAGCTGTTTGGGCAAGATGGTTTTTCCTGGTTTTGGAAAGGAAACAAACATGCTAAGGAAGTTATATATGATAAATATTTTGCCAAATATTGAGCGCTCACTGCCTCAATTATTGCAATGTGTAACTGGATGTAAGAAAGTCAGAGGACAAAGAAAATGTGGTTAGTCATTCTAAAAAGGTTTTTAAAAATTTTTTTCTTTTAAGAAATCTTGTGTTCTGGGAATTTTTAGTATAGATGACTATTTTTTTTCCTCTTTTTTTTTTCTATATTTTATTAATTTTCATAAACATTTACAGAGATTTTGGGTTTCCATTCATTCATTGTTGCACTATTCTCTCTACCCTCCTCCCAGTTTGTTCTTGTCCAAATGCCACAGTGCTTGTCAAAGCCAGTTCTGATTAATCTTCTTTGTCAGTGTGTCCTTTGCCATTCCCTATCACTCCTCCCTGAGAGAGACTTCACCCTGAGTCATAAGGAAAAGGGGATGGCGTATTCTCTTAGCTACTTCCTGCTGAAAAGGGACGCTGTGGGTTTCAGGGTGAAGATCTTCTCTCACTACTCTAAAGGGCCCCTTTGGCAGTAGGAAACACATAGACTATTATGGAGATTGATTTTGGAATTTAGATGCACTCTTATTGATTGTGCTTGGCCGTACATGTTCGTATCCTTGAAGATGTATCATGGGGGTGTTGCAACCTAGAAGACACAAATTTGACTAACAAGTTATAAGTACATGAGTCCAAAAATTATGGAAAAGTAAAAGAAAAGATTCTTTCATTGTTTTACAAACCCTCCCCCATGTCCCCTCCACCATGTAGCCCTCGCTCTAGTCTCCTGTGATGACAGAAATACCTAGTTATATATCTCTTTTAAACAGTTTTCTCCCTCCTCTGTTTCAGTGCAGTATACATTATTGAACCCATCTTACTCAGTCTCTCCCCAACCCTGAGGTTAGTCCCATTCTACAACAGTGGCATCATGTAATATTTGTCCTTTTGTGACTGGGATATTTCACTCAGCATAATGTTCTCCAGAGTCAACCATTTTGAATAATATTGCATGAGTTCCTTGTTTTTTAATGCAGCATAGTATTCCATTGTGCGAATATACCACAGCTTCTCTAGCCATTCGTTTGTTGATGGGCACTTAGGTTGTTTCCAACTCCTTGCTATTGTTAACAAAGCTGCAATAAACATGGGTGTGCATATATCTGCTTGGATGTCAGCTATGGTCTCTTCAGGGTATATTCCCAGTAGTGGAATTGCTGGGTCAAATGGTATCTCTATTTGCAACTTTTTGAGAAAGCGCCATACTGCTTTCCACAGGGGTTGCACCATTTTACACTCCCACCAACAGTGAATCAGGGTTCCAGTTTCTCCACAACCTCGCCAGCATTTGTTGCTTGCTGTTCTGTTAAATTTTGCTATTTTGACTGGGGTGAAATGATAGCTCATAGTTGTTTTAATTTGCATCTCTCTTAGGGCTAGGGATTTTGAGCATTTCTTCATGTGTTTGTTAGCCATCTGAATGTCGTCTTCGGTGAAATGCCTGTTCATATCCTGTGCCCATTTTTCTATTGGATTATTTACCTTTATCTTGTTGTGGTGCTCAAGTATTTCATAAATTCTGGATATAAGTCCCTTATCTGATATGATATTACCGAATACTTTTTCCCAGTCAGTGGCTTCCCTTTTTACCCTACTGGAGAAGTTTTTGGATGTGCATAGGGATTTGAGTCTTAGAAGGTCCCATTCATCTATGTTATCTTCTCCTGGTTGTAGCTTTTCCAGGATACTGGGAAGACTGTTTATGTTGTGGATTAGGACTTCTAGTGTTGTTCCTAGCTTTTCTGTAATGAATTTTATAGTCCTTGGTTTTAGTCCTAGGTCCATGATCCACCTTGAGTTGGTTTTTGTGTATGGAGTGAGGTGTGGGTCTTGCTTGAGTCTTTTGCAGATATTTTTCCAATTTTGCCAACACCATTTGTTAAAAAGGCTGTCGTTCCCCCACTTCACTGATTTCATCTCCTTGTCAAAGATCAGTTGACCATAGATAGATGGGTTGATCTCTGGATTCTCAATTCGATTCCATTGATCTATGTGTCTGTCATTGTACCAGTACCATGCTGTCTTTACCACTACGGCAGTGTAGTAGGATTTGAAATCAGGGAGTGAGATACCTCCTACCGTTCTTCTATTCTTAAGGAGTGCTTTGCTTATTCGGGGCTTTTTCCCATTCCATACGAAATTGGAGATTGCCTTTTCCATCTATTTTTTTAATATTTAAAATATTTTTAAAATATATTTTCATATAACTGATGAATATAAATTCCAGAGAGATACAAAGTTTGGAAAAATTATCTTGGAACCATGTGGTTTAGTAAAATTATTTAAAATATATGCTTGTCATTCTTAAGCTATACTATATGCAGAAATAATTCTCCATTTATTATTGCTGGATAATTTAATTCAGAGGTGAAAGTTACATTGTCATAGGCCTTTAGGAATGCCACAAAGCTCAACAAAGTCAGAATACTTGTAGAGAATTGACTCTGAAATACTGGTAAGTGATATAAAATTCTACAATAAATAATATTTGTTAGAAATACCATTTAAAATAAAAGAAAATTTATTCTGGAAACCAGTGGCATATTTTCACAGATTTTCAAAACACTTCAGTAAGCAAATACTTGTTAAGAAATGCATCCCTTTTTATCTTACACATAAAAGACATTGCTACGGGTAATACTGAATCCGGTTATTTTACCTACAGACACCAGGATTTTCAATTCTAGAATAATTTATTAATAGCAGTAATAGTTTTTGTGGTTTAGCTGCTATAATTGTGTTGTAGAAGTCAGGCAATGTCGTGTAACGCTGGTATGTCCACTTGCTGTACAGAGGTAACTCGTGGTTGCTGTGAAGCTGAACACTGTGACACTGATGAGGCAAATACGAGAATGGTTACCCATGGTGGACAGTGTTTGGTGGAGCTCCCCGATTAAAACAAGCTTGGAAGCAGGAGTGGCATCCACTTCTGAAATAGCTTGCCTCTCGAAACCCTATGAACCTGGAGAAAGGATGAAAGTTACACAGGTGTCCAGGACTTTCATTCATAGGGTTGCTATGAGTCGCCTACGACTCAGTGGCACTTAACAACAACAATAATTGAATTTTAACTTGGATAATAATTTTTTTCTAGAATTTGATACAAGTAGTCTTATATGGAAAATACTAATGTAAAAACAACTACTGAATTAGAATCCATTTCCCAATAGGTTAGTACATTTCTAAGATTACCTTATGACAGTTGAAGAGAAATTACACACTTTAGAAATGTGGACATATGGCCTAGTGGCAAGAAGCTGCACTGCAATCCCAGAAGTATGCAGTTCAAATCCACCAGATGTTCTGCTGGAGAAGGAGTGGCAATCCCCTCCTGTACCAGTCACATCTGATTTGATGGTACACACAGAAAAAATAATAAAATAAAATTTTTTAAAAAAGAAATGTGGACATAAGAAATTTATTTCATTAATCATATAGAGATATAAGGGTTGTTGACGTGGTGACACAGGGAGCATGAAATGAATGATGCAAATGAGTCCCAGACCTTTTTTAGAATTAATATGTAGTAATTGGAAATCACTATAAGGTAGTCCCAAAAAGGCTGGGAAAGGTGAAAGATATTATGCTTTTATTCTTCCTTGTACCTGTTTTTGAAAAAAGACATGTCTTTGAATATTAATTTATTTGGAAAATCTGTTTTTTCATAGTAATATTTAAAGTGTATTAAAATTGTACTATATACACTTGTTTTTCAGAGCTGAAGATGAGCTACTTTGAGATATTTATGTACTTAAATTCTAGCTTTAAAATCAATAATTTACTTAAATCATAAGGAAACATTGTTTTTTTCCTAATTTTTAATGCAAGATTTTTTTTTCTTTGCAGAATGAAATTAATACTGAAAATATGGTTAGTTCCATAGATTCTGAAAAACAAGATTCTCCTCCTCCAAAACCACCAAGGACCCGAAGGTATTGTATGTCATGGATTTTGGAAAAGGATATTGTAAAAAGAGCAAAGGCCACATGAGGACAGCCACATCTGACCTTTACCAAGTCCACAATGGGGAACTGTCCCCCATCAACACACAGTCATTGTTCAGGAAGTGAGACGTGTCCTGCACACTCCCCACATCTTTCTACTCATACCAACACAAACGTCACTGCCCTACTGAGTCTGAAATCCTTTGTGATAGCTCTCAGATCACACAGAACTGTATTAAGGAAGTCAAATGACTATAATTCAGGTTAGTAGCAGAAGAATATAGTCGCTCAGTGAGGAGAGCTGTTGACATGTGCTCGTGAGCGCCTCAGACTTCAGCCTCACCATAGCTCTAGGCAATATTACAAAGCCTAGTCCTTTTAATTACAGTTTTCCCCCTACCTCTCTCCATGCCCTTCTATCCACCCCTATGTCCTAGGCTTCCAATAAACTTGGGCAGATAGCTCATAGTTCTGGTTCCTTCCAGCTGTCCCAAGGTCACCTCCATCTCCTGTCAGGTCTCTGGTTCTTTGGTGCTGGCTGCTATTGGTTGCTGCTCTCATAGGCCCAGCAAGCAAAAGACTTTCTGGCCCTGAAGGATGCACTACATTCTCTTGCTTCCTCTTTGCTGGCTGGTGAGGTTCTCTTAATTCTGCTGCTGGATCTGCTCAGTTGAATGGCATTTAAATCGCTCCGTTTAACTTAATCCCCTTGTGGATAGGCCAATACACCCTAGTTGCATATTCCTGCCCATTCACTTGACAAAGCCAGTCTATGGCTAGGGCAGCATATTTGACCAATAAACCCTTAACATCACAAATATTTTTACTCATTGTTTATCAAAGTGGCAAATTTTTACTTTTTCTGTAGCTTTTATTATCATTTTTTGAATGGGACTGTGCTTAGTTTTAATGTAAAAGACTTAGCTACAATAGTTGTCATTTGTCAACTTATTTTTTTCAAAAGATGAACATTTTACAATATCCTTTTCAGTTGCCTTGTTGAAGGTGATGCAAAGGAAGAAATACTGCAGCCTCCAGAACCTCACCCAGTACCACCCATCTTGACACCTTCTCCCCCTTCAGCTTTTCCGACAGTTACTACGGTGTGGCAGGACAATGACAGATACCATCCAAAGCCAGTGTTACATATGGTTTCATCAGAACAACATTCAACAGATCTCAACAGAAACTTTAATAAAGCCACAGAACTTCCAGGGAAAAATGAATCAACTATTGAACAGATAGAGAAAAAATTGGAGCGAAATTTAAGTTTTGAAATTAAGAAGGTCCCTCTCCAAGAAGGACCAAAAAGTTTTGAAGGGAACACACTCTTGAATCGGGGACATGCAATTAAAATTAAATCTGCTTCACCTTGTATAGCTGATAAGATCTCTAAGCCACAGGACTTGAATTCAGGGGATTTAAAAGTTGATGAAATGTCTCAGAATTCTTGTGTGGACTGCAATTTAATAAAGTCAAATAAAGCTCCAGCTTCTCCATCGGAAGAAACCCAGAAGAGTTCGGACACACCTCCAAGGCCAGACTGTTTGCCTCTTGATGAGCAGGGACATGCAGTGTGGCCATTTCATGGACCTGAAAATGCCCTACTCATGCCTGATTCCTCTGAAAGCAAATCCTCTGATAACCATTGTCAAACTGCTAAAACTGTGAGTTCAACACCAAGCCCGTCAACAAAAGTTGACACCCATGATCATGTGGATCATGACAGTTCACCTCTCTTCGGAGCACCCCTCAGTTTTACTAATCCTCTTCACTCTGATGACTCAGATTCAGATGAAAGGAACTCTGATGGTGCTGTGACTAAAACTAGTATTTCTACAGCAAGTGCCACAGTTTCTGCTGCCACTGGTACTGAAAGCATTTCTACTAGGAAAGTGTTGCCAATGTCCATTGCTAGACATGATACAGCAGGAACGGTACATTCAGGTGCTGAAAAAGGTAATAAAACCTCTGTTAATTAGTTGTGTTTTATTCTACAACATTCTAGAACCTATAGCAAAATTAAGTTTCCCCTTACCAAAATTTGGTCATTTTCAGATATTAATGTTTTAATAAGCTTTTATTTATTACTACCTTAGTTTGGTCACATTGCATCATTGATTTTGTGTTTCCAAAGTACTTTAATTACTGTAACTAGAAAATTTTCATTCCTTTTTCTTCCATGTTATAGCTTTCCCTCCCCTTTTCTCTAATTAAATAATTAAGGTAGAAAAGACAGTATCACTAAAGGCAACAGTGACCATAGGGTCACTAGGAATCAGAGGCAACTAGTAGCACCAGGCAACATTCATTATTTACCATGTACATTTTTACCATTGACACAAGATTTTTTTTAAATGTGATTTTGTTGGTTTGTCATGTCTTTTGTATTGATACCTAAAACAACGTTTGCAAAGGACCCATTGCTGTGCCTTGATGCCAACTCATAATGACCCTACAGGACAAGTAGAACTGCTCTCATTGGATTTCCAAGACTATAAATATGTTTGGAAACAGACTGCCACAGCCAGCCTTTTGTTTTGTAGCCACTTTTGTTTTGTTTTAAAGCCAAGTGTTTTAGCCACTTGTGTCATCAGGGCTCCTTGCTTAAGTACTCTATGACAGATACTTCTACTTGCAAATTTAGATTTTATGCTGTACTCAGATCTCCTGAAAGATTTACCAAATTTGGCTACTCTGGACCCTTACACAATGGATGATTAATAAAGACCGATGTAAACTGTATAAGTCCCCAGTAGGATAACTTCTAAACCAGAAGCATGTAATATAGATTAGGCTATTTAGCAATCCAAGGAGAAACAATTAATTGGGAAGCAAGAAGCTTGACTAAAAAATAGCAGTATAGACTCTAAGGGTGAATCAGGATAATCTAAGATTCTTAGAAGCCTGGTGGCCTGATGGGTAAGGAGTTGCCTACCAATCCCAAGGCAAGCAGTTTTATTTTTTGTGTGTGTGTATGTACCGTCAAAACGGATCTGACTGGTACAGAAGGAGATTGCCCCTCCTTCTCCAGCAGAGCATCTGGTGAATTCAAGCCACTCTCCTCTGGGATAGCAGTGCAGCTTCTTGCCCTTAGGCTACCAGAGCTCACCGGCAGGTGGATTAAATCCACCAGCTCCTCTGCAAGAGAAAGACAGTCTCCTTTCATGCAGTTTTCAGCCTCTGAGATTCTTCAACTATGTGTCTGTTCTGACTTGATGGCAATGAGTTATTTCTTTTAACAGTAATAGTCTCTTTACTATGGTCTGTTAGAGACAGAAAGCAAGAAGTAGGCTGCTATCTCAGCTTTGCTCTGCTTTTGGAAAAGGGCATAGTTTATGGATGGTTTAATTTTTTTTTTATATGCAAGAGAGGTTTCCAGTCCTGTTGGTAGGAGCTCTGGTTGGCCTTGTAGTAGATAAGGAACTGTACTGCTATCCAAAGTCCACTAGCTGTTTCTAAAAGAAAGATGCACAGTCTACTTAGTCGCCTGCCATTTACAACCTCTGGAAATGCTTGGAGGGTCAGCTGTGACTTGGTTCCAACTTCATGAGTTAATAGATATTAAAATGGCTAGTACTTTCCTCTCAGTCATATCCAGAGGACTCTGTCTAAATAAATGTAGAAAGGCAAGAGCAGTCATACTTACTTCATGTTTGTCAAAAGTGGAAAGATTATACTTCATTTTCAGTCTCTTTGCAGTGTCTTGCCTGTCAGCTGTGGTGAAATAACCATGTTTTGGCAAGATTGGGGTTTTTTTGTTTGTTCATTTTTCAAATAAAGCCATTTATAAGACCCAGACAAGATAATCTGGGGCTCACATATTTCCCTTTCTTTATCCCATCTTCCCTAAGGTCAGAGCCCTCACACAAGAATTGTATCTTCATGGTTTCTTACAGTTGAATTTACTAGTAAAAAGATCTGATCAACTTATTCACTATAATAAGGCTAAATGATGATGCATTTTCTTTTCCAAGAGCTAATTTTGTTTTCAGTAATGGAAAAAATGTCATATAATTTACGTCAGTATTCACAAAGTATGATGTCACCGTTCACAAGATTTTAGGCAATATAAAGAATATTAAAATATGTTAATTCAGGTTTTATGGTTTTTAGAGAAATAGCTAGGACTTCAAATCTTATTTCTTAGTATTACTGCTTAAAACAGGTAAATTACAAAAGTTAAAAATCAGTGAGATTTAAAAATATCAGGTAAATAGGATAAAAGGTACATATTACAGCCAAAGTCGTGAAAGTTAAGTCCATTTAGGGAAACATTAGCTTAAACCAGATGATCATAATTTCCATTAATGGGTTTAGAGCATCAGCAGCAGTCACTTGGCCTGCCACCGTTTTTACTGAAGGCTGGTTTAAGGAGGGCTGGATTAATGTCTAGAGGGTATCAGGAAAATAGTTTTTATTTTGAAGCAGGAAGGAAGTGCATTTTTTTCTTGTTCAGTAAGCCCCAAAATGACTCTTGAAAATTTTTGAGTGGTAAGAGTTTGTTTTTTATATTATCAGAATGTCAGAAAGCTTTAATTTTTAGTAATTTGTCTAAATTTTATATATTTTATACAGATGTAGATATTAGTGAAGATTCACCTCCTCCTTTACCTGAAAGAACTCCTGAATCTTTTGAATTAGCCAGCGAACACAGTGAGTGTCTATTTTGCTCTTCCATTGCTCACTTTTTTGGTCTTAAACTCTTTTTAGTCTAGTGTCTGTTGAGTGGCACAATTAAATAAAAAAATAAAAAGAAAAGATTTGAAAGGGAACCCTGGTGTCCTAGAGGCAAGACGCTGCGCTGCAATCTTGAAGGCACACAGTTTGAATCCTCTGGAGAAGGAGGGACAATCTCCTGTGCTAGTCGGGTCTGACTCCCTGGTACACAAGAAAAATAAAAAATTGAGTGGATTTTGACCAATGTTTTTAATTCCTTGTATGGTAAAAATCATGGTTTTTTATTTGATACAGTTATGGAACATGATGGTTTAATTTATGTTAGATACCAGAATCCTATTCAGTGCCATTATAAATGTATTTATAATTTGATGTCCAAGTTATTAAAAGTAGCACATTTATGGAATATTAATGTCTTTACTTTGTCTTTTATTTAAAAAACAGAGCTTATTACTGTCGAGTAATAACTGACCTTCCAAGCCGACTTTCCAACATTGCCCATCTTTCTCCTGTGGAGCTGTTGGTTAATTCAAAGCACCAGAGAGGTGCTGTCTTTGGATTAGCAGCGAAAGTGTCTATGGTCTATACCATCAGACTCTCAGTTGAACTCTCTTTTAGTTGAGTTGTGGGATGAGGTATTATTTGATTGTTTTTCTCTGGGGAATGTTTAAGACCACTAGTTTATCAGTGAGAACTTGGAGAAAGTGATCATAATTCAAACTATTCATCCTGTAAACCATTCTTCCCTACTTCACTTCTCAAAGAGGACCCTCATCCTCAGTGTGGATGCTGAGCTCGGTCCAGGATGAGGACTTTGGACACGTACCTAGCTAGTATGAATACTGTACTGGAGTCAAGCTTCTTTTAGAATTTTTACTTTTCTGAGCTACATTTCACTAGCAGTTCATTAATTTTTATTTGTTATAAGGATATTTGAAAACTAAAGTGATATGTTTAAATTGTTGTTATAATCTCTAGATTATAATAAGATCTGCTGGCTGAGTTAATTTCATTAAGAAAGGAAATTTAGGAAAAAGGAATTTTCTTGAAACTAGGTACCAAATCCACCAGCTGCTCTGTGGGAGAAGGATGAGTGTCCCCTGCTATGTGAGTTACAGCCTCCGAAAACCTGCGGGAGGTCACTTACTTCTGAGTCGATTCTGACTGGACAAAACAACAACAACAAAATGTTTTTGACCAAAGTGCTGTTTTCTAGGTGGCAGTAGGGTCATTTCTTGTGTGTTTAATGGGGGGGAAAAAACTGAAGAATTACACATACTAATTTTAATTACAACATTTGTTTTCTTTCAGATACATCTTTAAGAAATGAACGGCATAAACCTCAAAGTCAAGGACAGTCTGAAGGAAAGATTGAAGTGAGTAGTTTTGGAATTAGAAGAGCTATGATTAAATATTTTTGCTCTTTTTATATTATCGTCATTTTTACAAAAATTGTCATCTAAATATGTAATTTTTGATCAGTGTTTCTTATACTAATATTCTAGATGGAAAGCTTATATTACATATAGGATCTGAAAAGCTGCTTTTGAAATTTGTGGATTATACCATGTTCCCAAGTATATTTGGAGATTAAAATAGAAAAGGAATTACCATTTTCTAGATCACAGTATGTTCCTTTGTTTAGTTCTGTTACCAGAAAACCATGGTTCTGCCACCTGCTTCCAGAAAACAAATCTGGGAGAAGGATTAGAACAGGACAAGATCAGATATTTAGGAGACATGAGATGTGGGTTTCCTAGTCTATCTCAGCCAGGAAAGGTTTTTAGAGATTATTTGTAGGTTCGGGCAGGGGCACTGGGAAAGAGCTCATGTTTATCCAGCACTTGTAGGAGGGAAAGACAGGGTAATCTTAGGAAAGGAAAGGTTTTGCAAATCAGTGGTCATACGAGCTGGGCTCTAAAATGTCATCTTTCTGGTTAACAATTTAGTGGTCATGCTCTTTCAAAATGGCTGCCCCTCTAGAAGGTCATACCAGGTCCCTCAAATGGTGCCTGGAAGCTCTTGTCAAAGTTGAAAAGATTGTTAAAAGGGAGTACCTGGGGGTGTCCAGGCTCCTTATATAGGTGTGTTTCCAGGCTTTATGATGAAGGGACCCACCTGGACTGCTTGCATTAGCTGAATGCTAGCCTTAACCTGGGAAAAGGTAGCACATCATATAAAAAGGAAAATGGAATGAGGGGAAAGTCTGTGATTCAGACCAGAATTAGCAGTATTTCAGTTAAAGCTTAAAACCGTTTTCCTTCCTGCTTATTGAAAAGGTCATCTTTGATACAGGGTCAGAAAGTATTATTGTTAAAATTAACCCAAAGTAAGTAATTCTCAGCTAGAGATTGCAGGGTGGGGAGACAAGTACAACCATCAGGAAAGGATTTCAACCTGTTAAGGAGGTCTTCTTCAGAATTTTCCCTCCACGCTAAGAAGACTAAGGGCTTCCTCTTGATAAGAAAATGTGTTCCAGCTGTCCTTCAAGACTGAAAAGGACACATATTCCTTTTTAAAATGTTAAAGAAATGTTAGTTTCTTTTTGCCTGTTTTCTGTTGCAGTTCCACTCATTAAAATACCAGGAGCAAAGTTTCTCCCTTTGGTTATTCTGGCCTCCAGACTCTTATTCCACGGTATAGAAATGTTTGAAAGCTAAATATTTTCACCTTGGGAAATACCATTTTTCCTAGCATAAAATTTTAATAATTTTTCTGATATTTAGAAATCTCTGAAATTAGGGTACTTAGAGATGATAAATACACATTGTGATATCATAACTTATAATAATGATATATATCATTAAATATAATTTGATGATATATGGTATATGTTTGTCAAAATGCTATTCTGTGTATATTCCTTGCAATTTTTGTCTTGAAGGGGAAAGTAGTTCACTGTTCTTTCATTCTAAGTATAAAACAGCATAACATTTAAAAGTTTTACATTTAATTGAAAACATAATTTTATTTCCCTCTGACACAAGAAATTGTCTGTATCTTCCTTTACACAAACACAGATGTCCCTATAACCCAGTATGGATATGTAGCCAACTTAATTTTTCTGTTATTTATAAAATGAGTGTGTGGTGACAGCTATTACATTCCTTCCTTATAGGGCTTGATAACCCCTGGAAATGAAAAATGTGGTGAGTAAAGATTTTCTTTGTTCTATAGAATACAGATTAACTTCCATTAAATTCTGTATCTCATGACACATGCTGTTTATTTCTGTATGTAGAAAATATATAGAACTACTTCTTCTAAATGCTGACATGTGCAATGTTATTCTTCCAAGTTAATTAATACACTAGTATTATAAGAATCTGTAAAATAACTAAAGTATTTATTTTATCCAGGTAATGGGAAATAAATTTTTTTTAACAGTATTATATCTGTTCTGTAAAGCCAGATCTTGACAATGGATGTAGCTGTTTGAATAAATGTGTTCTATTACTAACCTAGTTGATTGACTTGATCTATAACAACTCTTATTTAAATCATGTATTTTTAAGACTTTTACCTTTATTTGTGAAGACTGGTATGATTTTGCAGTTTTAATTAGTGTTATTATGGCATATTAGAAAATTTCTACCACATTTCTTTGACTGTCATAATACAATAGGTCACATTGTAATGAATTTGTATAAATCATGTAAGCAGCTTATCAGTCTGTATCATTCCTTTGAATCATCTGTAGCCTCATCCTTCATCTGCTATCTTACTAAAACAGATCTCTTCCATGATCACACCTTGGATCTGCCTTTTTTTGGGGGGGGGGGAATACTTTGAGATGGCTGGCTGGGGAACATCACTGTTTTATATAGTAAACTTTCAATTCTGGCTGTTTAACTCCAAATATGGTCTTAAGCAAGCATTGCCTGATGATCTTTTACATTTTAGTTGGTACCTTTTCTATTTCCCTTGAATCTTCCAGTCCTAAATTTTCTTATAAAATCCTTGGTTTTCCTATTCATGGTCATCAAATAACCTATACCTAACTGAGAAAATTGAAGCATGTAGAGTACCATCTTCATTACTTCCTAGAAGCTGATCCTGGTTAACTTACCACCACTAGTTTAATCTTGATGCCCCTAATGTGTGTCCCATTGCACTCTGTGCATAATTTCATTTTAAAACTTACCATGTTCCTGTATTAATCAAATGTCTGTCTCCCATTTTAGATCAGGAATTAGGAAACTATAACCTATAGACTAAATCCTAGCCTTTGCTTGTTTTTCATTTGACTCTTGAACTCAGAGGAATTTGGGATTTATTGCTTTATGTTAATAAAAGTTGTTTGAAAACAAAACCAAAAATTATGTAACAGACTCCCTGTGTGGACTACAAAAGTTAAAAATTAGCTCTTTATACCTGCTGGGACCCTAATGGTGCAATGGTTAAGTACTTGACTACTAACTAAAAGACAATAGGTTTGAACCCACCAGTGGCTCTGCAATCAATTTCATGAAGATTACAGCTTTATAAACCCTATGGAGCAGTTTTACTCTGTCCTATAAGGCTACTTTGAGTCCAAATCAACCCAATACCATTGGACTTTTTGTTTTTTAGTAAAACATGTTTGTGGACCCCTCATTGGAATATGTTATTATTGTTATATGACATTGAGTCAGCTACAACTCATAGAGCGATCTTATGCATAATAGCTCTGAATCCTTCTCTATCTTGAGCCAGTCTCACTGTCTCTGACACACCTACCCTCATTACCTCAATCATCTCATCCAGGGTGTTCCTCTCCTGTGCTGTCCCTTGACCCTTCCAAGCATGATATTATTCTCCAAAGACTGGTCCCTCCTGGTTACATGGCCACCAAAGTATGTGAGATGGAGTCTCAAAATTCTTGCCTCTAAGGAGCAGCTTGGTTTCACCCTCTCTAAGACATATCTCTTGGAAGTCCATAGTATGTTCAGAACTCTTCTCCAGCACCACAATGCAAAGGCATCAACAATTCTTCTGTCATCTTTGGTCATTGTCCAGCTCTTTGATGTATAACAAACAATTGTGGAGACCATGGCCTATATCAGGTGCATCTTAGTCTCTAGACTGATATCCTTGCTCTTTAGCACTCTGTAGCAGTCTGGTAGCAGATTTTCCTAATGTAATTGATCTTTTGATTTCTTGACTATAAAGCACCTGGAATATAGAGACCATCTTTTATCTCATTTGCATTTCAAGTGTCCCAGTTGGTTACATGTAGGGGACTTGATAAAAAATATGAAGGAATTAATGGATAATAGCATTAACTTAATAGAATTCTTCAAGTATGAAATACATTATTTTAACTCTAAATTTAGAAGACCACTTACGAGTTACAATAGTTACCATAAGTGGGTGAAAACAAAATCCTTTGCTTTTGAGTCTATTTCCACTCATAGAGCCCCAGCAGGACAGAACAGAACTGTCCTGTAGGGTTACCAAGGCTATAATCCGTAAAAGTAGCACTGGTGGCCTAGTGGCAAGAAGCTGTGGTACAATCCTGAATTCACACTATTCATATTCAAATGCTCTAGCTTCTCTGTGGAAGAAGGATGGGAAGTCTCCTCCTGTGCATTTAACTGCCTCTGAAACCCACCGGAGGGGCCAGCTATGGAGGGGCCAGCTATGGATCGGTTCTGACTCAATGCTACAGAACAACAGAGCAGACTCCAAACCATTGACTTTTGGTTGCCAACCAAGCATTAACCACCAGGACTCTTTAATTCCAGAGGAGATAAGAACAACACTCACTCTCATCAAGTCATTTCCAACTCAGCAATCCTGTAGGACAAGAATATACTGCCCCACATGCTTTCCAAGAATGCCAGTCTTTATGGAAGCTGACAGCCACATCTGCAGAGCAGTTGGTGGGCTTGAACCACCAGCAGTTCAGTTACCAGCTTAGCACTTAATGCCACAAGGATTCTTTACACAATGCCTTAGAAATGGATGTAAACCCTTAAAAGAATGACTACATTTGAGTGCCAGTAATTATGAACTTATTTGCAATTGGTTTTCATATAAAACTATTTCTTTTGCAATCATTATTTTAGAACACACGTATATCATTTATTTCACGAAAATGTGATATGACAAGATCTTAGTATGCAAGTTTCATGTTAACAGAATGTACAGCATTCCTGTGAAACCATTTGTAAGCCAAAATGGTATAAAGCAAAGAAGCTATTAACATTCATTTAAATGGCAAACATTTTTGAGCATTTGCAAAACTAGAAAATAACCTACAAATCATACTTGATACCAAAACTGAAAGAGACACACGTAGTGTTCACAGAGACCATTCAAAATGCTCGTGGTTTGTGCTTGTTGCGTGTAGTTGCTGGGCATGGGGGAGCTTGATGATGCCACCTTTGCTGCTTTGCTCAGGGTGCACACTACCTCTTAGCATTTTTTGTAAAATCTGAGTTTTGCTATTAGCATTTTTCCCTAAGTAAAATGCAAAAACAGGTACAACATAGGTGTTTCCTCAAAACAAAGTGGCATGGAGAATACTTGCTAAGTGGGAGAAATGTGTAAGTGTAAGGTCCTAAGAGATTCTTCACATGACAGGATTATTCACTGCAGATTTCTAAGTGCCTTCAGTAGTTACTAACATTATCTCAGAGTTCCCTACTCTTGTCTTTATATTTACTTGGGCTTCTAAAATTATGATGATCTAGAGAGAAAACTTGCCTCTAAACTCATTAACATAACAGGTTAAAACAATTGGTCTGTGTATGAAGCTGGGGAAGATGCTACAAATAATGATAATTATTAACAGGAGCTTTATTTTATATCTTAGATCATTCAGTAGGAGGTATTCACACTGAGACTTGCATAGACTGCTCACCTACTTTCAGTGACAAGAAAGATCATCTGTCTGAAAGTCCAGCGGAAGCCACAGACATTGGTAATATTTTTTTAATACATGATTTTAAAACTTAAAATGCTGACTAGAATGAGAAAGGGTCGTTCTTTGTATTTATTCCAGAACTTTCTAAGGCCAGAGTTGCTTAGAATTAATCATAAAATAAATCATTTAGTCTATTCTATACTGAACTTAAACTAAAATATGAAACAACTGTAGTACATAACTAATCATTTCTTTATTTTGGATTATAAGATATCTCAGCTGTCCTTACATTGTAATAGAATTGATTTTTTTTACTTTAGCATAGTTTTTTAAAAAGTTATTTCTTTTAGTCTTCCAAACAAGTTTACATTGGTTCTTGAGTTAAAAAATTGTTTGAATTTTTGGTGGTGGTGGTTGTTGAATTTCCATGTGGAAATTCATTTGTTCTAGAAAATTAAGGAGCTTAATTTTATGAACTTACTACTTTGAAAATCTGCTGAGTTATTCTGGTGTTTTGTCTGTAGGTTTTGGCAATCGTTGTGGAAAACCCAAAGGACCAAGAGATCCACCTTCAGAATGGACATGATTCAGGGAGTTAAAAGACACTTTAAATTATACTGGAAAATTCAAGTGCCACTGAAAGCCAGATTAGTATTTCATCTTAAAAATGTGGGACTAACAGCAGCGTAGATTGTTACCTTAAAATTTTGTTGGGACAGTCTACCTGCCTATACTACACTTAGGAAAAAGTATTACATATGGTTTATTTTGTAACTTCAAGTATTATTGCCTTAATGTCTCTTAACCCTGTTACACGCTGCTTGTAGACATGTTAATATAGTAATACTTTTATGATAAATTGAGTTTAAGGACTACTCTTTTGCTAATGTTTTATCATGTATGCATTATTTTGTATTTGTACAGGGCAAGTAGGTATATAATTTGATAAAGTTGCAGTCATAAAATATTATTAACAGAAGATGTAAGAAATTTCTGCATGTTCTAAATCTTTGTGTACCTTATTTGTAAATTATTTGCCCTGAAGTTTTAGAAAATAGTTTTCTGAAATTAAAAATTGCTGGATTCATGCAGCCAGCATTGCAGGTTATCAGAGATCAAAGATTGTAATAATAATAACATTTTGTAAATTGTGAGCAAAAGGTTATTTTTATATTCTATTCGTCTAATTGTCCACCCTAATTGTCTTTGTTTTCATCTAGTCATGGAGATTCAGTAAGTGCCTTGAACAATATTGAATTCTCTTAGCTCGTGTGTGTTACTTTAATATTTGAACTCAACTGGGATTAGAAGACTATCAATATATGTACGTTTCTGGATATTTGACCTGCCATTAAAAACAGAAAATTTTACAATGTCTGCTTGTTAATTTGGGTTTTCATTCCTCATTTTTAGGAAATAAAACCAAATGTCAGCTTTCCTGCTGATTTAGTATTATTTTTAAATTACCAGCATCAATGAAACTTACTCTCTTAATTAAGGGATAGGGGCCCACCTTCCTTCTTCCTACTCTCCAGTTCTAAATATTTTATCTTTGTATCAGCCATAGACATTCTTCTTACCCTTATCCATTCTCAGTTAGTCCACATGGGAGAAGTTGAGGAAAGGAGACTAGTTTCTTCTTATTCCACACCTGGAAGGTAAAACCAAAACCACCACTATGAAGCTGATTTAATTAATGACAGCCTTGTGTTACTGTTAATAGGTTTCATCAGATCAGCTTGTACATCAAAGGAAACTACCTGATTCCGCACCATACTTGTAATTTCTGTGGAACTAGAGTCCAATGTTGGAGTCAATGTTTCCATTCATCTCATTGAACATCTTCTTTTTCACTGAGCATTTGCTTTACCAGAGCAGTGCTGGACATGCTCACTAGTCTCTGCCAAAAAATTGGAAAGACCACTACCTGATCAATTGACTAGAAGAGATCTATATTTGGTCCTTTTTTTTTTTTAAAGGTGAGCTAACAATATCATTAGTATCATGTGCAGGTATAATCTTGTTGCCACATGGCTGGAACAATACAATGGTAGAGAGGTCCCACAAATTTAGGCTGGGGGAAAGAAACTCTTCTTAAAGTGACATCTTTCCTCTTCATCATTTTATATAGAGGTTTTTTTAAGTAATCTTTATTCCCCAGTCCCATTGTTAACTCTCAAAGATTTAAGTCTTATCTATGTGTAAATATTTACTGGCTTTTTCTAATACTGATCTTAGAAAAAAATGCCTTTTTGTGACAGACGTATGCCAGCCAGCCTGACTTATTCTAGATTCAACCTTGTGCAGTATTACACAAATTGTTCATCCTACTTCAGTCATGCACAGTACTCCATTGTGTGAATGTACCACAGTTTAACCATGCATCCATTGATGGACACTTGGGGCTGTGTCCAGCTCTTTGCTGTTTTAATGATACTATAATAAACATGGACGTACATACCACACATCCTGTTGCAGCTCTTAGTTAGCGGTCACTTGTGGTTGTTGTGAGGCTGAACATGGTGACACTGATGTGTCAAATACATTAATGACTGGTTAACCAATACAGACAGAGAGCGGGGTGGAGCTCCCCTATGAAAGCAAGCTTGGAAGGAGGAGTGGCATCCACTTCTGTTAACTGTTGCCTCCGGAAACCCTAAGAACCTGGAGAGAGGAAGAAAGGCACCCAAGCATGGAGAACTCTCCTTCATAGGGTTGCTATGAGTCACCTGCAACTCGACGGCACTAAACAACAACAACAGCATAATAAACGTGGACATACATATCACACATCCTATTGCAGCTCTTAGTTCTTTGTGGCTTAAGCCAAGTAGTGAGATTGCTGGATCAAGTGGTATTTCTATTTCCTGATTTAAAATGCTTAACAAAATAGGAATAGAGGGGAAATTCCTCTTTTTTTACCATAGAAAACAATCTGACTAATTTTGTTTGTTGATTTGCTGAATCTGCCAATTAGAACTAATAATTTTCTTGGCTTAGTCCTTGGGATTTTCTGTATATATATAGTATATCATTTGCAAATGTATTCCCTCTCTGCCTATTTTGATGCCTTTTACATTCTTTCTTGCCTTGTTGCTCAAGACTTCCAATATAATAGGAAATTGGGACTGTGTTGCTCAGGACTTCCATACAATATGATTGGTTCCAACTCAACAGGAATGAGCTTAAGGGTTTGCTGATTCTTTTTTGTTTTTTTAATTGTATTGGCTAGGATTTGGTTGAGAATTGCTGCTAATGCTATTTTAAGTATAAAAAGATTCAGATACTATTAATAATTTGCCCAATAAATAAGTGAAATGTGAATTTTTGTGTATTAGAGTACATTCTCTAATTCTAAATCTTGGTACACAGCTTTTACACGTCATAGCTCATTTTTATTCTGGCAGATGGAAAATTGCACAAGCTTTAATAAAGATTTTGGCAGTATCCATCAATGGCAGCCCTTGAATATTCTAAATGTGGAAGGTAGATCTAGTTTGACTATATAGTGTATTTTCTTTGCAGAAACCTGTTTTTGGGGTTTTTTTTTGCCGTTTATCTTAAAGGTGCATAACTCTCATCAAATAAGCAATTGTTTGCTATTTACTTTATAAGGAATTTGCCAGTGAAAACCAACAGTTTTGGGTATCTCAAGAAAATGCTTTTCAAGGAGATTGTGTTTTCAAGGACAGCACACCTGGGCTTGCTTTGTTGCATTAGAGGGAGAAGGGAATTCCAAAGATTTCAGCCATTGTTAGAGATAAGGGCATGTGTTCTGTTAATGGTATATGTACTAGTACCATGATCTAATGTAATTATAACTTAAGAACTCTTGCAAATGCTTCAGAAAGAATATATTCTTATGCTACAGATCTACAACCAAATCTCTAAACATTAAACACAAAATAGTCTTGTTTCTTTCAAACATTTTTCCTGACTAAAAAAATGTTTTAAAATATCATTGTGATTTTAACGAGAGTTGTACAGAAAACTTGGATTTTTCATTATTTGTTGCATGACTAAAATTTTTTTGATAGGATTAAAATGCTAATAAGCACACAAATGTTTTCATTAAAGTATTGTGCCATCTAATTTTTAGCTTCTGTGCACATACAGCATTTCTACCATATTCTAAATAAAATGTAAAATGTGAGGAAAAACTTTAAAAAATACTGTATTTAATATAAAACATCAACAAAGAGAGAGATCAGTAGGCCTAGTTGACAGAAAAGTGATGCTACCAAGCCAAAGGTGGGTGACTTTCAATCCACGACACTCAGGCCTGTTTTTCATTGTTTTTGTTCAAACATTCTTCGAGGTCGTGTAGCCCTGGTGTATCCACTTGGAGTACAGAGGTAACTTGTGATTGCTGTGAAGCTGAACACTGTGACACTGATCAGTCAAATGTGTTAATGGTTACCCATGATGGACAGTGTTTGGTGGAGCTCCCTGATTAAAACAAGCTAGGAAGCAGGAGTGGCATCCACTTCCAAAATAACTTGTCTCCAGAAACCCTATGAACCTGGAGAAAGGATGAAAGTCATCCAGCTGTTGAGGACTTTTGTTCATAAGGTCACTATGAGTTGCCTATGACTCAATGCCACTTAACAACAACAATATAAAACCCAAGTCCACACACAATAATATTTAGGATTCATCTTCTATGCAAAATAATAGCAACCTTGAGGTACAATTATATATGACATAGTTTGAAAGATATACAAGACTAACAAAAGGTTTTAATAATGAAATGTCTATATAAATGTTTTCTATTTGTTTTTCTTTCATAAAGAGATTTTTTATTGTATTGAGAATACTAAATTGTTTTTAGCATCTTCAATCTCATGTCTCTATTTGATATTATTTCTTCTATTATCTATTTCCATATACTGGAATAAGAATCTGCAACCTATATGTAAACATTTTACATTTAGAATTTATTTTCATTTGAATTAATTTGAACTTAGGATCAGATATTTTTTTAGTCAAAGATACTTTATTTGACTAATAGGCAACACTATGAAAGATGCAGAAAAGATAAAGTTGTTAATGATTTCGTTTTGCTGGGATCCACAATCAACACTCTTGGCTCCAGTAGTCAGAAAATCAAATGAGTTGCATTGGTTAATCTGCTGTCACGGACCTGTCCAGCATGCTAATGAGCAACAGCGTTAGTCTAGAGACCAAGGTGTGCCTGATCCAGGCCATCGTCTTAATTGCTTGCTATATATCTGAGAGCTAGACAACAGATTATAGATGACAGGAGAAGAAGCAGTGCCTTTGAGTTGTGGTGCTAGAGTACTGGACATAGAAGGGATTGCCAAAAGAACAAAGATCTGTCCTAGAGAAGGATGAAGCCTCGTTGCTCCTTGGAAACAAGGAATTTGAAACTGTCTTACATACTTTGGGCATGTTACCAGGAGGGATCAGTTCTTAGAGAAGGACATAATGCTTGGAAGGGTAGAGAGTCAGTGCAGGAGTCGAAGACCCTACATGAGATGAATTGACTGATTGTGGCAATGGAGTCAAGTGTGTCAGAGACAGTGAGGTTGATTCAGGATAGGACAAGGTTCAGAGCCAATGTTC